ATCACAAAAATATTATTATCATTATTATTATTACTACAATACAGATTGTTACTTATTCACTTATCTTTGTATATATGTCCATTTCACTGTATCACACTTCACAAAACTTTTACCATGCCACCCAAGACATCTGAAAATGAAATGTTATTATGGGATCACCTTACAATTTCTACAAACCAAAGAATCAAAAAACTTTACCCAAGCACAACCTTTGAAAATCAGCAATATATCAGTATATTCTAAATGGCGCAAATCCACATAAAGACAAAAATTGCATTCACAATAAAAATCATTCAGTTCAGTTCAGTTCAATATTGAGCAGTGAAGGGTGTGGTGTGTGTGTGCTGAGGTGTGAATGTGAGAGAGAAGCTAGTGAGATGACAACTGGACAACAAGGAGAGGTGTATGCTGAAGTGTATCCACTTAAGTTCACTCTTATGGAGTTCATTTAAATGTTCATCTGTCCAGTCTCGTTCTGAGCTTTGATTTCAGGAACATTCATGTCAGAAAAGCTGACTCAACAGACGTATGTAGACCCAGACAAAGCGGACATTTTTCTGAGCTGCTTGGTGAAGATTTTCATAGTTATCTGGGCTCTACCAAGCTCCAGAACATGCTGTGATTGCTTGAGACAATTTTTTGAAGTTTATAACCCTCACATTTCCATTCCACAGGATCAACACAGAAAAGTTCAGCCCATCTGTCCTGAAATCTTACTTATGTCCACATCCATGAAAGGGTTGGGCCGATAAATGTCACGACAGGGCTCAGGTTTTCCCAAAGTCACTGAATCTGTTCAGCAAACTCCTGTCCAAAGCCTTGATAAGAGGTCACAATACTTGGACACATTTAAAACGCTGGCTGCAGCCTGTGTGCACTGTCCAGCATCTTGGAGGAAGACAGAGGGGAAGTGCTGAAAACTTTTGTTTTTCAACTTGCTGAATGTACAATGACAGTTTTGCCACTGAACGCCCTTGACAGCAGCTGATCATGTCACATATATTCTTACCTTTGCCTTTAGTTCCAGGTGGTTAATTTTCGGTCAGGAAAGCAAGATCGAAGTAGCCACTCTGCATCAGATAATTAGGTGGGTCGTCCTCCTCCCCTCGTTTCCATGAATGCCTTGATTTCACCCAGCAAGGAAAAGAAAGCGCTGTAGTGATCTTCCCCCCCAACTTAGCCATCTGACCTCGTGGGGAGGAGAATCCCCATACTCCGCAGAGCATTCCTCCCTGTAACAGCTTGGAATTGATGATCCTGATAACAGGGCGTCATGACATGGTCAATCCCATAACTTTTGTGCATATGCCTGTTGGTGAATGATGCAATGATAGTTCAAAAAACTTTGAAAGTCCGGGTCCGCTTTGCAGTGCGCAATAAATCCGGAGTGACGACCTGTCATTGCAGGGTGCTCCGTCAGGTTGGACAACAGCTTTTCAATAGGGATCTTTTTTTCCACAAAGTAACTGCCTTTACTGCATTATAAATATCAATTCCCCTGGTTGTAGTTTTCAATGGGAGTAAGGTCAAAAATCCTCTTTGGTGGAAAAGTCATCAAACACCAATCCGAATAAAAACAGGCCAGTG